ATGCTACATTCGGCACCCTTCACCGTAGTTTTTTTTTTAACATTTATTACATACACATCTTTTTTAATCTTTCCAAACAATCAAACAATCGTTAACGAGCGACAACAAAATAAACACACCTACACTCATTCTTACATAAGTTTTTTCTCATAAGCCACACCACCCGGCTAGCATTTGGAAGATTGTTGGACGATTAATCAGTAAACTGAGTAATTTTTGACTCCTTTAGATGACCTAAAAGTGATTAATAAGTTGAGCGCTTAAAAAATGATTCGAAAATGATTCCGATATATGATTGAAAATTGATTGTTTGAAAAACAATAACAAAATGTAAAGCAATCATAAATTGATCATCCTGGTGTTTTAAATATGATGGTTTTAAAAACTTATTTTGTGATCATATTTCAAGCAGTTGGAAGATCTAAAATTGTTTCCTACATAAATGTTTTTGTTTACAGTGGAACAGCAACACTACACTTAAAAATGACTCAAAAACGATTCAAAAATGAGTCGAAACTGATTAGAAAAGGGGCTCAGAAAATATTCTTTTAGAAGAGTTAGCAAACAATTTTGTGTGGCCTAAAATGAGTTGATATAATTCTCATTTTTTTATAAAATTAAATGTATAAGTATTTTAATTTGTAAAGTTGCTTTAATTATAATAATTTTATATGTTTAATGATCTTCTACGGAAGATAGTTGGGTGACTTATCACTAAACTAAGTCTAAATAATTCCAATTAATGTTTAAAATCTGATTTAATTGAAAAACAATAACAAAATATACAGCAATCGCAAATAGGTCTTCCATGTGTTCGAAATATGATTGTTTATAAATTTATTTTGTAGTTACATTTCGCGCAGTCGGAATATCAAAAGCTCAAAAAAGACTCGCTTAGAAGAGTCGCGGGTAGGGTACCACTTTCTCGCGACGAATGTATCATTTATGATCAGAAAATTAGCGCATATATGATCATTTTAATCGTGCAGAAGAGTCATAAATGACTCGAATCTGATCAAAAATTTCAAAAAATGCTAGCTGGGCAGTTGCTAGTTTTTTGTTGCTTTTTTCTCTCATTTTCAGAGGTTGTCTCAGATTTTTGCTCATATCTCCTTTATTTATGTACCGATTTTTCTGATTTTCAATCGGAAACTACTCGAAAGCATGTCCAATAGAATAATCGAAGATTTGGATTCCGAAGATATCTACGCTTTTCAGAAAATTAATTTCAACACACACAGACAGACGGACATGGCTTAATCGACTGCACTATCTATAAGGATCCAGAATATACTTTATAGGGTCGGAAAGTTATATTGTATAAATTACAAACGGAATAACAAACTTATATATACCATTCTCACGAAGGTAAAGGGTATAAATACACCCTATCTACAAAAACATTTAAATATTAAAGGTAAAAAGTCTAATTTCTTCATTTTTATACCCTTATACATTCGTGAGAAGGGTATATAGAAGTTTGTTATTCTGTTAATAATTTAAAAATATTAATTTTGTGTCCTCATAAGGTAAAAATACAATTTGTAACTCCTTATAGGCGTAGAAGTCGGTTTCACGATGTCCGTCTACACAAGTTTGTTTTCAAATGTCTGTCCGTCTGTCAGTCCGTGTGTATGCTAAAATCATTTAGAAGACCCCAGATATCTGCGATATCCAATTTTTTGTCAATAATTCTATCAGACATACGTTCGGGAACAACGTTATTTAAAATCAGCAGAATCGGTCCATAAATAACAGAGATATGAGCAAAAATCGGAGAAAACCTCTGAAAATTTTATCACAAATTGAGATTTTTCATGCATGTTGAACAAACAACAAACAACACACATAATCATATGGTAAATTTTGTTATTGTACTTGCATTGGCTAGAAACATGAAATTAAGTATGTACAGTTAATCTCAAAAAGTATACAGAAATACTGACAATTGGTTTTATTTAAAAAAGGATATTATTTTTTAAAAAATCAAAAAAGTAACACATTTATTTATTAAAAACAATTATGATAATTATTATTCACTACTTTTTTCCGGGTTATTTTGGTTACTTGAGTTCTCATTTAAGATGTAGTTGCAAAATTTACGTCACAAAAGTACGTATACAGATAATTTCAATATGTATTTGGCTTAATGATATTAACAAAATTCATGAAAATTTTAACTGTTTGAATGTAATTATTTTATAATAAAATATTCTGTACACTATAACATGGAAAAAATTCACTTTTTGTTCCGAAAAATTGAAATTTTTGGTAATTGATCTGAATATTATTTATAGGAGCATTTTTTCCTATTTAAGAACATCTGACTATTTAAACTCCCGGAGTTTTGGATCGGGTATTCAATAATATCCCTCGTTTGTTCATTATGATGCATAGGAAGACGATATTTTAACTTTTAAATTAATTGTTTCTTTACAATAATTGCAATCCATTGCGGAATATTGCCGTTTTTAACATAGTATAGCGTTCATATTCGATATTTAACGGCGATTTCCTAAAATTTATATCTTAAAATGCGATATTAATAATATTTGTACAAGTATCCATTAATTAAAACAAGTTTTTTGGTTCCAATCATCCATTACACACTCCTAAATGCTACCAATAATCGTCAAATGGTGATCATGTCAATAACTTACACTACATATCGGATAAAATGTCCGATCCATAAAACATGGTTATTGTATCGAGTATATCAAGATATGATTGGTAGCATTATCGTATGCTTTGGAAATCGGACTATTTGGAAAACCTGTTTAAATTAAAGGAAATATATATATAATTATCCAAATTTTAAAGTTTATGTTGTAAGTCTTAAGAAATCGGAGTTAAATTTCGGTTTTTTAAGAACGTACTGTGTTCAAAATGGCCAAATCCATGCATATAACATTAATTTCGAAATAACAACTCTTTTTAAAACTTAAAAATTCTATTTCCAATGCATCATTTGGAGGGTTCAATGACCACCAGATCCAAAATCCGGGGTCTAAAGTGGAAAAAAATCGTAGAATTGAGAAAAAAACTGTTCTACTAATTAATTCCGGAGCCAATCGGCCCAAATTTCAAGATTTCGGAACTAAAAGTAGATTTTTTCCAAGTTATTGTGTAAAAAATATTTTATTAAAAAGTAATTACATTAATACAAGTAAAATTTTCATAAATTTTGTTAACATCATTAAACCATATATATACTGAAATGATACTTTTTGATTTTTTTTATAAAATTGAACCTAGAAACATGAAATTAGGCATGTAAAACCAGAAGTAAATGAGAACCTTTAAAAAGGGACTTTTTATACATTTTTTAACTGGTACTTTTTGAGCTTATTATAATATATTGAACTTAGGAATATGAAATTAAGCCCGGAGTAAATGAGAACCTATAAAATTTGACTTTTTGGTACTTTTTAGTTATTTAACTGGTACTTTTTAAGTTTTTTGTAATATTGAACTTAGGAACATGAAATTAAGCATGTAGGCCCAGGAGTAAATGAGAACCTTAAAAAGAGGACTTTTTGGTTCTTTAACAGGAACTTTTTGAGTTTTCTAAAATATTAAATATATAATCACCCCTATTCTGTATTTCGATTACGTTTCCGCATTTGGTTACGCCACGATCGAAAATTGGTATTACAACAAAAAACGGAATGGTAGGAAAAAGAATAAGCAATTCCATTTTATTTCAATGCTTTACGATTGTGTGTATTCTGTATTACGATCGTAACTACGTTTTTGTAAGTAGTTATTTTAGCGACGGAGCTTCGAATCGAAATGCAAAATACCAAAGTTGGCGAACGGAGAAAATTTTGATTCGAATTGAGTTACAGAATATGGGTGAATATTTAGAATTATATTTGATAGAAACAAACTTTTCAATTTAAATAGTTTTTTCCTTCTGCAAAATTTTAAAAATGTTATATGTGAAATAATAAACGGAAAAATTAGGTTTAACAATATTTTTATTGCATAAAAATTAATATTATATTTTTAACATCTTATTGAGTCGTATTTTTCACTCAATGAGAATTATTTACTAATTTTTACATTTTTGTTTTTACTCATTTCTAAAAGCAAAATAAAAATATTATAAAAAATAAAGAAAAAAAAAAAACAATAAGTTGAACTAATTTATGTATATTGAATAGAATTTAACTATATAATATTGTATTGTTGTATGAAAATAAATGTTATTCTACCGCTTTAAAAGTAATTATTTTTTATTCTGAATATTTTTATCACTCAAAGTAATTATGCATGATAAACTACACATTTGTTTTCATTTGGGATGTCATAGCTTTTTGTAAGGCGTTCCCATCAGTAAAAGTAATTCTGTTTTTATTTCGTTATAATTTCAAATTCTTACTGTGCATGACCTTTTTATACTGGGATTAGAGTAATTGTTTCAGTGTAACATTCGTTTTAGCTGTGTAAATTTAGCTACAAATCAGATTTTTGCAACCATATGCACAAAATTGACTTAAAATTTTAACACAAGAATTTTTATTTTACAGATGAGAAAACCGTCTGAAAGTGCTTTTAACGAAGGCCGCATACTGATTATCTAGTTGTAATATATAATTATGAAATATTGTAAACATTCCTAACCATAAAATGCTTACCAAACTCTTGAATCTTTTAAATTATGCGAATATGTTTTCGGTTCGCATTATAAAAATGAATATATGTACATATACATATGTATGTACATATATGGAATTGTTTTGAATTGCACTACTGTGTTCCAATGCTAAATTATGATTTGCAATACATTTGCAAATCAAGATGATGGTAAGTACACTTTCATTACATAAATACATGTTCGTATCGCAGTTATGAGTTACAAGTACCCTAATTGCTTTTATGATAAGGAATGATACAGATAACATCGTTAAAGCGATTTTCATTAAAAATACTTGACACAAACTTAATAATATTATGTCAGAATAATGTTTTTTGTTAAAATAAATTCAATTAAAATGTTTAGTGTTTATAGTGTGTTTTTTAATGTTCATACTAAAAATAAAAAAAAATATAGTAACAAAGCCAAATTATAAGCACAATATAACTGAAGACTAGAAATAAAATTAAAAATAGCACAGTAAGGAGCCATTATAAACATACATATATCAGGCGATATGCTTGACGATTAACTATCTGATCGTATCTTTAAAACGTATACGTTCAGATAGTTTAGAATAATTGCCGTTTTTATTTTTTTTACCTTCTTATTTTTTGACAATTTATGTAAACATTTACAAATACTAACTAAAGGTTTTCATATTATATTGACGATGCCAAACAAAAAATTATGACTTTTTTATTTTCTGTAAATATTTGTTATTAAGCCATAATATATATAATATTTATCGAGAAGAATATCGTCAGATATGTTATATCGTCTAATGGCGCCTATAAGGTCAAAATTTAAAACTAAACAAAAAATAAATTAAAAAAATAGTTACAAGCAAAGTATAATGCTACATGTTTATAAATATGTTATATATTGTTTCTCGATTAAAGGCTTTTACAGATGAGAAAATCCTTATTGAAGAGAATTTCAGCACCACTCTTTTTATAAATATGGGATTATTTCCTATCGCTTTTAAAGCCACTTACGCTGGTACTAACTCATTTAAAGATACATTGATATCGTATAATACATCAGAGCAAACACCCATTGTTTTATATTTTTAATATTAAAAACAAAAGAAAAATATACATATTGTTAAAAAGAAATTACAAATCTTCTGATCATTCCCGCTTAAACACTCATTCCGACCGCCTTTGATCAAACAAATTAAAATACACTTTGCAATGTACATTATTCAAGTGAAAAGAAGTATATAGAATTAAAAATATATCATATACATACATATAATATGTATTGTATAGGTAAGTAAAAAGTCATATTGTTTTTGATTGCATTTAGGCAGCATCGTAAAACTTCGTTTTTACATAAAGCACTTGACCTGGTCGTCTCTAATTAATTAAAAAAGATTTTACGATTCTTGAAGAAGTTCTTTCAGCTTTTATATATAAGAAAATGTTGACCTTCAAACGTTCAAGTCTTGCTCTGTACGTATTTTTATATTATTATTGCAAACAAAGAAAATGCTTATATGAATAAATGCACCGGAATTAAGTGCACTACGGTTGCTGGGTAGAATGAATATATAGCATAGTGTTGTTTAAAATAGTTTATGAAATTGGTTATCTAAAAAGGGTTTATGTTTTGCTTCCAAGGTGAGAAATATCAGTACTATCACCAGAAAAAGACACAATTTTGAGTCTAAACCATCTAGTTAGTTTACAGCCAACCACCCTTCCGACCAAACAGTAAAGAGCTTACGGTTCCGACGAACGATTGCGTAATGCTTTGTTGCTGTTGTTCTTTGGTATCATGGTCTTTACCGTTAGTAGAGATGTGTTTGGAACTACTTCCAGATGCTACAGCAGATGACTTATTGTGAGTGCTTGACGGTTGGTCGTTTTGCTTTGGTGAAACTCGACCTAAATCTGTGCGCACTCGACCACCAATAGTACCTAAATCGGGTCTTTGGCCATTTTTTAGGTTTCGTCGCGATTTCTGTCGCAGCATTTGCTTAACTCGAACACTAGAATTTTCCAAATCAGAAATATTGCTTCCAGCCTTGCTTTGTGCGTCATCTTCTAATTTGTGCATCTTTTGGTGCTGCTTAGTATCAGTATGGCTTGTTTTTTTGTTTTCGCATTGATCCGATGTTCTTGATACTCCAGCAGCTGATGATTTAGATGATGTTGGTTTTTGTAGCTCCTTAGGATTAAGTCCTTTCTGAAGTACGTCTTTTATCTGGTTGCGATCAAAGTGCAAGTCACTTACAACATTATTAGAATTCGTGTGAATATTTTTGAGGCTGGTTAATTGAGCCATTGGACTGGCGCTTCGATTAGCAATTCCACTTGCTAGCTGTGACATTGCATTTGGTTGTGTGGTAATAATGTTTTCTAAACCAATACTTTCGACTTTCTCCACCAGCCGCAATGATCTTAGAGCACGTCGTTCAAGACGTGTTAGCATTATTTTCTGCTGTTTTTGGTGTTGTTGATTTCGATTTGGTCTTTCAATATCACCACCAACAAGTTTGCGTCTAATTAAATCAGCTCCAGAGGAAAGCAAACCGAATAATGGTTCTGGCGACATTGAACGCGTAGGAGATCCCTCTAAATTATAATAAATGAAAAAGAGATAATGTAAATAATCAAATTAATAATAAGTTATTAACTTAGACCAACCTGGACTGTTGCACGGCGTGACTGTGGGAGAAAAGTTCGGACCTGCTGGTGTATTTAAGGCGCTTGGAGTCACAGCTTTAATACCTCGTTCGTTCAACATGGAAGCTAAGCCCAAGTTAACGGAAAATGTGGAACACGAATTTTTGCGCGATAAACCAGCTCGAGGTGTTGGGGGACAGCTTTAGTTCGAAATCATAAGTGTACCCATATTAATATAATAAATTTGATTTCAAAACATACAAACATATTTACCTTGGTTGGCGTGAAGTCGACGTTGAAGCCATTCGAGAGGACATCTGGGACTGCGAAAGGAAAGATAAATCGGTTATGAGGCCATCATCTGGGTGCATGACAGTGCTGGTGGTATAGGTATAAGTACAACCGGAGAATTCAAATTGTTTGCCAGGCAATTCATCACTGACATCCTCTTCAACATCTGAGAGTGTGTAAACTTGCATACCTAAATCATCAAGACCCCGACCACCCCTTATTGTAACTCCAGGTCGTTCTTCTAACAGACCACTTAGAGTAGGTGTAGCAAGACGCGTCCAATGGTGCAATGTCTGAGAACCTTCAATCGGTTTGACAATTTGTAATTTCTCAGGAAGACGCCATTGATGCATCGATGATGACATGTTAGTCGATGAAGAAATTCCGGACGACCCGGTCGACATAATGCTATCAGGTGTTCGTACTCCCAGTGGAAGAGCAGCCGGGGGTTGTTGATCATCATATGAATAAGTTCCAGCTGGTGCGTAAGATAACATAGCTCTTCTTGCCAGAACTTCTGCTGGTGTAAGTCTTTTTAAAGCAGCTTCAAGTTCTTTTGCACCTGGTGCCCCTGGTACACCCGAAGGTTGGGTTGGATAACAGTCATCTGACTGAGAATTAATGCTTTCGCATGATAATGTCTTTACACCCATACCCAAAGACATGCCACCATCACGACAAAATGAAGTATTATTTTGATTTACACCGCCCACGAATGGCATTGCAGACATGCGCGGTCCAGATGCACTACTCATTGACATGGCGCCAAGGTGAGTCATTGAAGTAATTTCACTGTCGGCGAAATTGCCGCTTTTCGTTGCACAACGTACTGTATCGAATACTCGTTTGTAAGGAGGTAAAGATCCTCCACTAAAAGCGCAAATACCACTAGAATTCATGGAACTGTTGCCGCAGTTACTAACGCCTGGAAGTTGTGACATCAATCGCCCTATTCGATCGTTGATACGTTGATTATCACCCGAAATGCCAGAGTCAATACTGTTCTCAGAGTATAGTGAAGATTCCATCAATTCAGATTGTAAAGAGTCTGGCTGCAAACCACCAAGTGTAGACATGAATGAACTACGCGCTTGAGGAAGTGTCTTCTTTCGTTGTTTCCGTAGTTGTTCTTGGGTTTCCTGCAATAGAGCCAACACTTCTTGGTATCGTTGCTTAAATTCTACTAACTCTAATGCCAGCGAATTTTGATTTTCTTTTGTGATGTTCAATAATGTAATATGTTCATCATTGTCGTGGGTTAGCTGATGTAGCCTCATTTCAGCTTCGGACAATCGTGCAGTTAAACTTACAATTTGTTCATGCTGAAGTCGATTCTCTTCCCGCTGACGTTCTAATTCCAAACTAAGACCCTCAAATTGTTTGTTTGCATCATTTAGTTGTGACGAAATATCGTCCATTAGTTGTCGTTCGTGTGCTTCCACCTCATCTGTTTGACAAGCCAACTGGGATGCCTCTATTTTGAGAGATTTATTTTCATCTTGTAACGTTATAATTTTCTTTTGTAGTAAATCTAATGTAATTGATTTAGAATATGTTGGCGTATCTAGAAAAATGAAACATTTACCACATAAGTCTTTAATTTTTTTTTACATTTTAATATAAAATAATCTTACCATTATCACTGGTATCTTCTCCGTCATTTGTGAGGACAGAAATAAGTTCATTTTTCTTGTGCAACTCATGTACAAGTTGAGCGCGATCCTCATTTGCTGATTTTAAGTCGGCTTCTAATTCTGCTAATCTATTCTCTAGTAAGTTATTTTGTGTTAATAGCTCTTTACCTATTTGCACCGTCAGCTCCAAGTCTTTCTCCTTCTCTTCGAGAAGGCGAGTGACGGCCTCTATATCGTCATATGCCCTCGTCATTTGGCTTACACGGTTACCACATAGAACTAAAATAAAAATTAGAAACAAATTGGTATTTGTTTGTTTACATTGGGGATTATGCGCAGTAGCATATCATAAAAAGTATATATTATATTGGTTATGTTAACAAATTAGAACTTTAAGGGTTGTCATACAATTGATCAGTCATGATGGAAGTCAAAAAAATTCTTATTTCATACTTTTTTGTATACAGGTACACTTTTTATATAAAAAAATAAGTCTCTGGTTCAAAAATATACTTGAAATATGTAAAGTAGAAATTTGTAACCGCTTATGGCCTATAGGCTAGGTTATTGAATATTGTTAAATAAATAGAAAAAATATATATCGATTTCCATAACATGTATTTTATATTGAAATATTTCAAAAAGGTTACTGTGAAGTCGCTCGCTCAAAAAATAATTAAGATGCAATCAGTATTGGTCGTGTTAACAGTTTTGAAATCATTTTTCTTGGAAAATTCCTACTTAACTAGTTTTTAGTTTAAAGCTGAAAGACAACTTTTAAATGTCGTTTTGGAACAAAAACTGCTGAAACGAGTTTATGTTCAACAGATAAACATTTGCATAAATGTTTAAAAATTTATATGAAAAAATCGAAAGTCAATATAATGTATTGCTTAAAAGGTATTTTACATTATATGATTTTGTATTAATACAGAGTATTATTTAAAATATATTGCAATCTAAACCCTTAAAATATTTTGTAGTTTAAAATGTATTGAGCTTTTGGACATTTTTAAATGCCTAATATTTTACAGTTTGTAGCATGATAGAAATATCAAGGTAGTGTCATTCTCTCTTTTTGTCGCCATAGTAACATTCTGACGTTTGCTGGTATTTTAATAAATCGAGCTACCACATTTATTTTGAAAATCCCATTTATTTTTGTTTATTTTTCAAGCTGTTAAGCCCATTATCAAATTGATGGACACTAGGCGCCTCCGAATGCATTGTCTGTTGCTTCCCATGTTGCGGCATGGATTAACAGGATGAACCAATAAAAACGGTATACATACATATATAATAATAAATTGGAGTTTATATCTTCTTACATCAAAAATTTATCTTCCAACGTATATGTAGGTATATATGTAGGCAGAATGAACCAGAATTAGCTGTCCATTCGGTCCAAGAATACGCGGTTTTCTTCAAGTGCAAAATAACGCTGTCATGAAATCTTTGGCTACTTTGCTTCAAACTCCTTTTTCTAATATTGACACCGTTATTAGGGGTTGGACAAGAATGCTAAGTGGAATTTCTTGTTGCTCGCCTTCACTTTATATGTTCATTTTTTTTATGTAAACCGTATACCACATGTCCATTTTGTGTATGAAATACTTTTAAACTTAAAGAAATATATATTTATCTTCAGTTTGATCCATCTACGTATATGTATGTACATATTTTTTTATAATCCTTTTTTTAAATCTGTGTGCCTCCGGTGGGTTAGTTGTTAGTATTCTAGTCTGTTAGACCGGAAGTCGTGGGTTCGATTTCCACCAGAGACTCTAATAAAGGAGAGCACAACAGATCCGGTGTAAACCTAGGTGTATTTCTTCAGGTTTGATGAAACATACATCCTCCTTTCAAACTGACTAACTAACTTAATCGGGCCAGCTCAACAACGGTTATAGGTGGACTTAAAATATTTTAGAAATCATTAACATAAATTCCACATACACTACACAAATTTCTTTAAAACTAGTTTCCCATTTTTCATATACTATGGCAAGGATTTTTCTATTTGTTTACAAAATACAAACATCAAAACTTCAAAAACATTTTTGAGAGAGAGAAATGACACTACATTCATATTTTTATCATGGTTTGTAGCATGGTATAAATATATTTTTAAATCATGGTCTATATACATTAGAGTGATTCAAGCTTGTATGGAGGACAAAAAATTCTATATTAAGTATAAAAAATTATACTTTAACCCTTTTTGACTATGGAGTAAACTTGAGGTGCACATTTTTAAAAGAAAAATTTTGTTTTTAAAACTGATAATTTACGTAATCCTTTTTTATGGTCGATTTTCAATGTAATATGTCTAAAAATACAAACTTTATATGGACAAAAAGGGTTAATTCATAAGTTTTTATACTTAATGTAGAATTTTTTGTTTTATTTCTGTTATTCCTTTAATTATATAGAGCATTATTCAAATAGAGAGTGTTTTTTCGAATTTTTGAACTTTGGTGTTAAATTATTCCCAAGTGCCTTAAAGGGTTAATCTACCATTTTTTCACTCTATTTGAAATATCGGACTATATACGATAAATTCCAGTCATTTTTGGTAAAGATGGCCGACAAACAAATATTTCGATATGGTACACTAAGAATTTCCAAATATTGCAAAATTTGACATTTGAACTCTACAGTTTATGGGTTAAGAATGTCCGATTTTAATAAAACTTCGGATATATATTTTGTATTATTTAGACTATAATACTCTGATAATACTTTATTTAAAATATGCTTCAGTAAAGAATTAATACGTATTCTCTAAAATATTACAAAAAAATGCGATTTTCCCGAAATCCACCGAGTTCAAATCGCAGGTACAGCTAAACTGTGAGAAATATTGATCTCATTGACCATAAATCACCATGAGATCTTCTAAAAATTTTGAAATTTGTTTAACAAATATTCAAAAAAACTGAAATTGAAGATTTGAAACGGCCGTTGAAAAAATCAAACTTTTTTGTCCATAGCTGAGAAGAAGTTTGCGTTATCTTATAAGGCAAAAACTAATATTCGAGTAATTATAGATATATTTTATGTAACAAAATGTTTTTGTCACATTTCGAATTCATGTGCTGTGGGACACGTTAATGGCCTGGGGAATTTGCAATAACTTTTAAAGTTTTCGCAACTTCGTTTTTTTGGAGCACTCTAATATACATATGTATCTATAATACAATTTATTTTGATTTATTTTATAATGAAAACAGAGATATATTATCAAAATCTTCTAAAAAATGTAGTCTTTTACAAAATATGTAAAAAAATAATAAAATTTGCGTAAAGTACATTTTTATGATTTGAATACTATTATTCAATAAGTCAAAAACAACAAATAAGCAAATATTATATACAAAAATACATGCGTCAGTATTTAAGTTGAATTTATTAAAAATATTTCCTCTAGTAATTAATAAAAAAAAATAATTCTCTCTAAAGGCTTGCTTTAGCCGACCTAGGCTTTAGTTTCTATGTCATTTAATAGAATTTCCTTTGTCTCCTTGCATAAGATTAATGGAAGTCGATTTATCAGTCCGCATTGAAGCGAGTAGTCAAGACTTTTGCTCACAATGACACGCCGTTGAAAATTCAAATGATTTTGCAATGCTTTAGGGTGTACTCGTGTCTGAAAAATAATGCCTTTTGTCTGAATCCTTTCTCCGCTTGGTTTTTAAACACAAAAAGGATACATTTTTGTGCAAATATTAAGTCATATGTACATAGGTATTTGTAAATTTTTGCAATTGCAGTATTTTAATAGCTCTTGATTACAGGTAAATACTGAACTTTGCTAATATTTATAGTAACAAAGTTGTAATTAATTGATATTATTCTTAATATGTACAAGCATTGATAAGTATATACAGATATAAACACATTTTGCTACCTTCGATAAGCAACTGTTCGTCCCCAATTAAAGTTTGATTTGAATTCAAACTAGTATTTGTATTCATAAACCCGTTTTCATTAGATACGAAATTATGCTCACTAGTGCTACTTGAGAACGTCGAATAACATAACTCTTCTTCATCATATTCCAGCTGGTTTGTTTCGCTACTAAAGATCTCCCAATCTTCCAAAGTTGTTTCTTCTTGTTCCATAACAGATAAACTTTTTTCTATCGAAATATTTTCAAACTTTTTTGAGCTAGCTCCTGTGGTATTACAGACATTTAGTGATGTAGTTGCCTTAGCAAGTGGTTCTGCAACAGTATCTGCATATTCATCCTTTATTGGTCCATCCATATGAATGTTTTTTTGTTAACACTCATACGACCAAAACGGAAGCTATAATCTCAGCAACAAATCTTTAATTAAAGGATATTTGTGTCTGGTGTTTGTTTGGTATATGGTGTATTATGCAATTCATGGCACGTTATTTGCTCTTTAAAGTAAGTTTTTGTTATATTTGTAAAGAGTTAACCAAAATTTGTTTAAGCTAATTCACACAACAATTTTAATGGAATTAAATTTAGTAGTTAATTACTTTTATTATTTATAAATTTGATGACACATCACTAGCACAATCTTAGACTCAAGTTTTTTGTCTCAGAAAAAAATTAAAATTAATTTTTTTTTAAATATTTTTACAATAGAAATTTATTTTATTTTTTTTTTCAACCATCGCTGTTTTTATTGTAGCTTTATTGGTGAGTTTGCGCATTTAAGATTTTTAAAATGCAAAATACACCCTTTTCACTTTTTTTGCACCAAACAAACTATGTACATATGTATGTATGTACATTTTTATCCATAAATTAAATTAATGAAATTATACAATCAAAGAATGTACATATGTAAATATTATTGACCACGACGACTTCACTTCTTTGGAGACATTTGTAAATAAACCATAAATATTTGTAATTAACAACTTTGTTTAAATATACAAACTCACATTTTAAAGGATGGTATCCGACTGCAATTCTCGTTTAACATGTATGTATGTAGATTTATTTTTTCCTTCTACCTATGTATATACAAATGTACGTATATGTATGTATCACGAAGAAAAATACCAATATAAATACAAACAACCTTTAAACCTGCTGGAAATATTCTATTAGGTAGAAAGATTAACTTTAAGACAATAGAAAAAAAAAACGTAGTAAAATATAATAATTTATGCGACCAAGAGGCTCGTGATGTTTATTAGCAACTTATATATAAATCTCCAGATGAGGGACGGCAAAATGGCGTACACATTTGTTTATTTATTTTTCAGTTTGTAGATTAACAGAATATAAGTATTAAGAATTTACACAATTATAAACTGTTTGTGTTATTTTTATATCAATTGTATTTATTAGCAAGAGAAATTATAATAGATTTATTTATCATATAACACAGACAAATATATATTAAAATCAATCTATAAGATTGTTTAACAATACATTTAATAACCACACACGAACGAATCTCGTTTTGCACATTTTTATAACAATTTTTAAAATCCACACTTATACACACGCACTGAATCCACAAATTCACTTGTATAGATACATAGATACATTCATCCATTATACAATATATACACGACAGAGTTGTATTTATTTGTATATTAGCAGTGTTGGTAAATGTTATTTCTTCTGCCTCGTATACAAATAGTACAAAAAAATTCCCAGCAAAATAATAAAATTGAAATAAGTGAATAAAATGTCAATACCGGAATTTGTATGTCTAATTATTTTATCGCTAAAATGCCTTTAGCGCTATTCTATTAAAAATTCCAAAAAGGAAATATATGTACATTAAAAATGGATGATTGCTAAAAAGGTTACTACCGATAACGCTATAATATTAGTTAGTTAGTTTGAAAGGAGGATGTGTATACACCAAATCTGAAGAAATACACCAAGGCCGCTATCGGGCTTGTTGTGCGCTCCTTAGGTGGAAATCTATCAGACTTTTTTCGTGCAGTTTTTAGAATATGGTCTAAACAATAACACCCATATTCGTAATAAAGTTTTGATTCTATAAAAGACTTGTGAAACATAATTTCCATAGAAAATTTGTTTTGATTATTATTTAATAAGGCATTTAATAAATAAGCTGACAGTACACTAGTAAAATCCATTTTTTTATATTGTATGATGTTAGAAAAATTTAGGGTCTCATTTTATAAAACGAAACGACAAACGTTCAAAAAAATTTGTATGGAAATAAATTTAAATTTTCAAAAACTTTCCAGTATTATTCATACAAACTTTTTACGTTAACGAATGTTTCGTTTTATAAGATGAGGGGGTTAGTATGTTAAATTAAGAAATATTATTCCTGGTATTTTACGACAATATTACATAAATAATTCAAAGAATTAAGCGACTAAAATATTAATTGAATTTGAAATATACCTTGATCGTGTTTAAGTAAATTGCGCACAATTTTTAAACATTTTGCACCGTTAGAGTTTTTTCCCACATGATACATTAAGTTTGAATTGTACTCAGTATCATTATATGAAGTGTTTACTTGAAATGAGTGTTCAGTGTCATTAAGAAAATCTTGTGAAAGCCCCCTAGACACAAAATTGTAAAGTAACTCCAATAATGGCGTTGATAAGTATCCACTCTTTCTTTTTTCTACATGATTTACGTGTTCTAAATCTTTAACGTAAACTTGAATACGTTGCATGGCTTCTAATTCAAGTTCGAAGCATGTTGGTTCTTCCTCTCTTACAACGTACATGTTTGATCCTGATGTTGATGGAAACTCATTATTCGGATTTATTGTTTTGATTAAGTCAATTGTTTTCTGAGTATTCGTTTTTACTTGATTCTGTAGTAACTTGAAAGTATTTTCGAATCCTTTACTAGATACTGATGGCTTATCGGTAATTATGAGGTTATTTTTGGCACTTGACTCAAAATTTTGGGATGTTAATGTATGTGAAGTATAATTATTTTTAGGTTTATGATTTAAATCCTCTTCAATATCAACGAATGAACTTTGAAAACAATTTTTGTTTACGTTTCTTTCAAACTTCAAGTAAGTCTCATCAACAGGACATATTGACGCATTTAAATTTTCCTCGTCTTCGTCATCTTCTTCTTCTTGCTCGTTAATTTTATGTAGTTTTCGACGTTTTGAACAAAGGTCAGCATCTCCGTATTTAATTTTATTTATATTAGGATTTTCATCAAATGGCTTTAGTTCCGTTTCTCTTGCAGCCATTTCTCATACATTTTAAATTAAATATTTTGTTTTTATTTAGAACATACTAATTAATATAAACTTTAATTTGCTATAAAAGCAATATCAAAATATTTTTAAACTGTTCCAATTGAAAATATTCTTTTTAATTAAATTTATTATTTCCAATCTTAATAATAATTAAAAATGAAGATTAAATTTATACATATGTATGCGTTTGTAATAAATTCCACTTTTGTAATTAAAGAAAAAGTTCTAAAAGGTTTTATGAAAAATATTGAATTAATAAACTCGAAGATGGAATTACTCAAGTCATTGTTTATTTTTAGATAAGTTATTAATTTTCATAAAACATGCGTCTCAATATGTTACGATATTGAATTTTGAATACAACCCTGCTCTACAACACTAATATTTTATCTATGATATATTGTTTGTTCACTCTTTTATTTTGATGTTCTTTCTCACTATTTATCTTTTTTATCTAACGGTTATTTTTATTCTTTGAACACTGTGAAATCTTTTAGTCGTAATAAACTTTTAAACTTGAAACGTCGTGTTTTAATTCTCCTGGGGAAAATTCAATAGGTTATGGGCCCAGGAGCGCTCGAGTGAATATTGGAATATTTAAAGAAAAAGAAAATTAAAATTATAGCAAAGTGAAAGGACGTGTATCAAAATGAGTGTCTCAATGTACAATATTGAGAAACTAGATGAGACGAATTACGACTCATGGAGCTTGCAAATAAAGGCTGTTTTGATACATCAAGATTTGTGGTCCACCATTAGTGATGATAAACCGACGGCACAAGACCAAATAGCAGCATGGACGAAAAGGGATGAAAAGGCCACATCAACTATAATTTTGAGTGTTACACCCATGCAAATTTCCTATATTAAAAGTTGTTCATCAGCGTGTGCAGCCTGGAACACATTACGTGATATACATAGACCTAAAGGACCAGTAAGAAAAGTTACTCTTTTTAAACAACTTCTCAATATGAGAATGAGTGAATCAGACTGTGTTCAACAATATGTTTGTAATTTTTCGTCAATTGTGGAGAAGCTAGCCGAAACTGGAATAGAGCTTCAGGATGAGTTATTTGCCATTATGCTCCTGGCAAGTTTGCCCACATCGTATGAGAATTTCGTCATCGCTTTGGAAACAAGGGATGAGCTGCCAAAGCTGAGTGCATTGAAATTGAAATTAACAGAAGAGGGTGAAAGAAGAAAAGCTGGTGAACAAATTACACAACATGGAGGCGCACAAGTTTTTATGTCTCAGTCAAACAACAATAAGATTAACAACAACAACAACGTAAGTAGCAACAGAATCAACGTGAATAACAACAGGAATGAAAAAAACAATCGTCAAGCCGGTAAGCAGAAACAAAATTTCAACTGTTTTAAATGCGGTCGCAGAGGCCACTACGCAGCGCAGTGCAGAAACGGTAAACCAGAAACAAGCAACAGAACAGTTCAACAAGAAAGAAAAGACACACACGCATACTCAGTATTTGCAGCCACTAACGACAACAATGTATTGAATAAAGATGTTTGGTGTTTAGACAGTGGTGCGACGTCTCATCTATGCTGTAACCGAAGTTTTTTTGAAACATTTGTAGCGCATGTAGAATTGATCACACTTGCTGACCAAAGTGAAATTAAAGCAGAGGGCAGAGGTACAGTTCGTATTAACGAATGTAACATTGTTTTAAATGATGTGTTGTTTATACCAAATCTGCAGTGTAATTTTATTTCTGTGGGCAGAATAGCAGTAAAAGACGTTGTGAAATTTAACAGCAGAGAGGCCAAGATAATGGATGAAAACGGAAAAACAATTTTATGTGCAGAAAAGTTAGGAGATTTGTTTTTATATACAGCAAAGAAGAACACTTTGTTCATGACGACGGCGAATATTGATGAGGTTATGAAATGGCACAACCGCTACGGGCATTTAAATGTGGCAGGCCTAAGTGAACTATCGCGAAAAAAATTAGTGAATGGCCTGAATATACAATTTCCTAATGAAATTAATTGTACTACTTGTTTGAAGAGCAAATGCACAACAAAACCATTCTCCAGTTCTGAGAACAGGGCAACGGAATTACTGGAGATAATTCATACGGACATTTGTGGTCCGGTAAATGTAAATTCTTCCGGTGGTGCTCGCTACATATTGACGTTTATCGACGATTATTCTCGGTATGTATTTGTTTACTTTTTGAAGAACAAAAGCCAGACATTTGAAACATTTAAAGAATTTAAAGCGATGGTTGAATGTCAGACAGGAAGGAGAATAAAAATGCTTAGATCTGATAATGGTACTGAGTTTGTTAATAAAGTTTTTGATGAGTTTTTGAAATTAAATGGTATTAAGCGGCAACTGACAGTACCTCATACACCACAACAGAACGGGGTAGCTGAACGTTTTAATAGGACATTGGTTGAAATGGCCAGAGCGATGCTTGTATATTCTGGTGTTGATGAGTCATTGTGGGCAGAAGCTGTGAACACTGCCGCTTATTTAAGAAATCGATCGCCGACAAAAGCATTAAACAACTGCACGCCATATGAAGTTTGGTGCAATAAGAAGCCGAGCGTCCGCCATCTAAAGGTTTTTGGTTCCTTGGCTATTGCATTGGATAAAACACATCATCACAAGTTCCGTCCAAAAGGAAAGCAATACATCATGGTTGGTTATTCCGAAACTTCGAAGGCGTATCGCCTATTTGAAAAAGCTACAGGAAAGATAATCATAAGCCGAGATGTTTACTTTATTGAAAATGATTTTGTAAAAGAATATGAACCTGAACAACTAAGTAAATCCGATGACAATATTTTCACCATACTAATGGAGCCGATTGTCGAGAATATTATTCGAGAAGATCAGAATCAAGAAGACAGTGAATTCGAGTCAGCCGAGGAAGATTATCCAGATCCTGATGCTGTAATGAGAGGTTCCGAGCTAGTTGGATTTCGTACTAAAATTGAAAACCAGAAAGCAGCAGGACGACCGAAGTTAGTACGAACAGGTCAACCAGGAAGACCAAGAAAACAGTATAATACGGTAAACTTGATATGTGCGGAAAATATTAAAGTTCCTGCAACAGTGAACGAGGCTTTATCGGGTGAGTACTCTCCATATTGGTTAAGTGCGATGCAGGAGGAGTATAAAGCTCTTCTTGACAATGATACTTGGGAGTTATCGGAGTTGCCACATGGTCAGAAGGTTGTAGGATGTAAGTGGGTTTATGCCATAAAGAAGAACAAGGAGGGCCATATCGAACGTTTTAAGGCCAGATTAGTTGCTAAAGGCTATGCACAAACATATGGCATAAACTATACCGAAACTTTTTCGCCTGTTGTACGATACGAGACTATCAGAATGGTAATTGCCCTTGCAGCGGAATATGAGCTCCATCTACATCAAATGGATGTATCCACGGCGTATCTAAATAGTGACTTGACCGATGAAGTATATATGGCGCAGCCCGAGCACTTCACAGATGAAAGATTTCCCGAAAAAGTTTTAAAATTAAAGAAGGCTTTATACGGACTCAAGCAATCCGGCCGTCAGTGGAACCTGAAATTGGATGAAATATTGAAGGGAATTGGTTTCCACCCCTGTGAAAGTGAACCATGCCTATACCGCAGAGAAAATGGCAGTAATATCAATTTGATCGCTGTATATGTGGATGATTTGCTTATAGCGTGTTCAGACTTGAATGAACTAAACCAAATAAAATCCCAAATTGCTGAAAAGGTATCTGTAGTTGATAAAGGTCCCGCTAAAAATTTCCTTGGCATTGAAATTGAGAGAGATGGCGCTACTGGACAAATTACAATTCATCAGAACAAATATATTAGAGAACTTCTACATGAATACAAAATGGAAGAGTGCCGTCCAGTGTCTACTCCGTTGGAACCCAAATTCCAAGTTATTTGTGAAAATGATAACTGCGAGAAAGTCAACCCAACACTCTATCAATCACTCATTGGTTCCCTGATGTACCTGGCAATTTGTACGCGTCCTGACATATTACATTCGGTATGTAAATTATCTCAGAGAAATAAGGATCCACATCATGAGCACATGGCAGCAGCAAGAAGACTTTTGAAGTATTTGAACAAGAGCGCAAACTATGAATTAAGATATCGGAAAACTGGACAACCCGTAATATGTTACGCAGATGCTGATTGGGGCGGTGATGCTTCAAATCGAAAATCATATACGGGGTATGTTTTTATCCTGGCAGGCAGTGTATTCTCATGGGAATCTAAGAAGCAAGCTACAGTAGCCTTAAGTAGCACAGAGGCTGAATATATGGCGCTTTCATCAGCGGCAAAAGAAGCCGTATTTTTGAAGAAACTCCTGAGTGAAGTAAAAATCCATTGCCCGGAGAAGATTTTAATATATGGAGACAACCTTGGTGCTATACATTTAGTTAAGAACCCTATTTATCATAGTAGAAGTAAACATATAGATATAAAGTATCATCATATTAGAAATGTATTTTCTGAAGGTTTAATTGATTTGCAATATTGTAATAGTAATTCCAATATTTCTGATGTATTCACGAAGAACTTATCTAAGGATAATCATATCAAATTTGTAGAAGCATTAGGCTTTGTTAATTTATGAATTTATTTATAATTTTTTATTTAAAATATATGTGTTGAGGAGGAGTGTTACGATATTGAATTTTGAATACAACCCTGCTCTACAACACTAATATTTTATCTATGATATATTGTTTGTTCACTCTTTTATTTTGATGTTCTTTCTCACTATTTATCTTTTTTATCTAACGGTTATTTTTATTCTTTGAACACTGTGAAATCTTTTAGTCGTAATAAACTTTTAAACTTGAAACGTCGTGTTTTAATTCTCCTGGGGAAAATTCAATACAATAACATTTAAAAATGTAATTTAAAGAATTTTATAAATATGACGAAATCGAAAACTTCGGCAGATTTAATTATACCGTTCAAGTTTTGGCTGATTTAATTTGTGTACGTTTCACTTACGTAAGTAAGTCATACATATGTACATATGTATACATTTGTCATTCCGTTTGTAATTTCCTTAAAATAATTTTTGTCCTTTTAGATAGCGAAGCCGCTTCAGCGATATTCGTTTGTATGTTTGTTAAAATCAATATTCTACATTAGGATCTTGAATAATATTATGGATCTTGAATAATTCTATCATAAAAATTAAATGAAAAAAAAAAAAAACGAAAGTTAAGAAAAGGCCTATATATGTATATTGCAATGTACTTTAATAACTTTAATAAACTTCGATATTTAAACAAGCCGGATCGCGGTTTAAATTTATATTTATGAATCTAGACAAAAGTATTGAAATATTTTCGAACTTACTATGCCCCTTTTGCGAAGCTATACATGTCGCCTATAACGAAATATTATGATTGTTAATCAACAAAGGACGTACATTACATTACAGAAAATTATTTAATTTTTTTAAATATTCGATTAAATTTAAAATATATTTGTAATTCAGCTCTGGGTGGATAAAGACCGCGCATCATTACCATTATCGTTTAAGGGTAATCAGGCTGTCCTTCTTTTGCTGCCTTCGAGAGTTTTGCGTTTCACTCTCGCATTGGTTTAGTGCGCGGCGTCGGATATCTGTACATAATTGTTTGTAAATTTTCATTGATACATGGTGGAGTACCAAACAAAACACCTTTAAGATTTTGGTGGAGACCAGTAAACTCAAGAGCGGAGTCCGGGAGTTTTATTTTAAATTCCAGTTTCTTATAAGAAGGCAGTTCTTGGACGTGACTCTTTTAGGCGTAAGCCGTAATTGGTGATGGCGTTATGAATATTTCGAAGCCAAATAATTCCTCCTACCATACTGTTAAGGGAGCAACTTAAAATCAAACTAAACTAAATTTAAAATAGTAAGTTTTTCGCCATTTTAATGAATTACCTATTTGTTAAACTCATGCACTATGATTTAATTTATATAATTAATTCTAAAAGCTTTCGATATAGTTGAAGTTATTCCCTGATGAATTAATTCATATAGAATGTTAAATTCCTTCTGAATGAATTAATTTTGTTTGCATTCAATCTGTTACAAACCGGTACATAATTCACACTATGGACAAAAATGTTATATTTAAAAATTTCACACAATTTTCAAAATTTAAGTATAATTTTTCCCTTGGGGAGAACTGTAAACCCTGGTATAAATCAATTCCCATTCTTATGTATGTGGCGGATGTACTTTTACTATGAAAAAATGGTCTGTGATCATAAAATATTATTACCAAAATTCCATGTCTTATTAAATAAACAAAAATAATTTAATTCGTAAATAAAAAAATTAGCAAAATAGTAAAGTTTATCAGCAATAAATATTAAAAAGATAAAATAAAAGTAAGTATAAGTATAGGTCTCATTTTGATCATTAGTATCCAAAACTATTGCAATATTTTTGCACAAATGGAGAACAAAAACCCTTGCCGGATGTCGACTGAAAAGGGTAAAATTGCGTAAACAATAAGACTTTTTTGATTTCTTCAAAAAATGTACCATTTAAATAATATTTTCTTAACATTTCGACAAATCTTATCTTCTAGAGAAAAATGTCTATCCAAGGAGGCATAAAACATTAATATTGAAGGTCAAACAACAAAGTTAGTGATAAAATTCGCAAAGTATTCGAAAATCATGCATTTTTTGGTCTTTGTTTTGAATGCAGAAGTGATGTAAACAAAAATATGTATGTATCTACAAAAAACAAGTAAAAAGGTATGGATTAATTAGTAATTTTTGCTACATATTTGTGAAAAGACAATTCTTATAACATTATTACTTGCCACTAAATATTAATGCCCTTTTTTTAAATATTTTATCGGTATAAAATCGGTATAAAATTTTGCTGAAGTATGTTTTAGATTCTAATAAATAATATAAGATCGATTCAAACAAAATCGATATTTCTTGGGCACTTCTAGTATACATATGTATGTATGCCTACAAAGGTATTGTTGAGTGATAATGTTTTGATAATTTAGAAATATTTATGCATTTAACGATAAGACATAAACAATTTGTAAAACACTGAACTTTCATTGAAATGCTTTTAATGGTATATTTTCTTAAAATTGTGGAAAACAGAGAATAATTAACTTTTAAGACCCGCCACGAGTTTTTAAGACATACATATGTATGTATGTATGAGAATAATTATGACATACATATGTATTATGTATGAATGAATGTAGACGAACGATGAAGTTATAATTTAAATAAACAAAATACCTACTTGTAATTTAATTTTATGCATGTATGGAAATGTTTTACTAATATTTTATAATTGGATTGGAAATGTTGGTAAAAATTTGATATCAGCTAGAAATTAAACGAGACTGAGAATTTTATTGGTGGTTCAGGCAAAGTATAAAAATAAGTTGGAAATATTCTTATCTATTGATGATACAATTGTACACAACAATAGATTTTAGTTCTAATAAGATTTTACATAATACATTAAAATAGATTTAATATTTTTGTGTTTATATTATTTGTACCATTATTTATTTTAATAGCAGTAAACTTTCAAGAATATTTTCAATTGGTAAATGTTTAAAAATATTTAAATTTTTAGTTGGGTTGTTTCCTAAAAATAGAAAATGATGATGGCACACACAAGAGATTTGAGAGTCTTCCTCTTTGGCTTTTAACGATGACGGACGATGACACAGTATTGTTCGGTAATACACAATTTTGGCGTTTCTCTATTATGCTTCAACACTATTTTATTTATTACGTTTACTAGTTCACATTTATTTTTAGATATGTAAATTGTTTTTTATACAATGGTTTTTTAATTATAATAACAATTCAAAATATAAAGTTAATTTGAAGAAAAGTCCGGCCGAGATAAGATAGTCATAAAAGAAATGGCAGACTGTTGTGACAGCACAATAAAAAAAAATAAAAACTACTCCTATTTCAGCGTTGTATAATATTGTAGTAGACACTAACAATAATATAGCGATTCTTTGTCAAATCTCGCGATTTTTACAATTCAGAGGGAAAAGAATATCTCATTTACTTGAAGAATACCATAACTCAAAATTAGCTTTTTTTAATTAATATATTTCAAAAACCAATATTAATTTAGAAATATTAGGATATAACCCCCTCATTTTATAAAACGAACGAACGAAACTTTCGTTGAAGTAAACAAATTATATGAAGAATACTGGGAAATCTTTCAAAATTTTATTTATTTTTCCATAGAATTTTTTTGAACGTTTGTCATTTCGTTTTATAATATGAGACTGAACACTTGTAACATTTATAAACTGAGACTGAACACTTGTAACATTTATAAACTGAAGAAAACAACTAAGTAGAAGGTGTAATATGTAGTACTAATTTTTTTCATTTTTGAGCAATTTTTTCACATTTGAAATAGGAAGTTTTTTCATTATCAAAATTTAAAAATGAAGTAAATCCCTACTAGGTGAGCATAATGTCATATCTATGAAAATTATAGATAATCTAACAAATTTAGATAATTGACCTCTTCATTTTATAAAACGAAACTTTCGTAAAAAATTTTTATAAAGAATACTGAAAAACTTTTGAAAATTTGCCCCCTCATTTTATAAAACGAAATTTTGTTGAAGCAAAAAATTGGAATACTGGGAAATTTTTTAAAATTTGAGTTTTTTCCATACAATTTTTTTTTTGAACGTTTGTCATTTCGTTATATAAAATGAGATCCTGAATATTCCAAATATTCAATTCTGGAACAGGCCTGAAAGATGAACCATTAACCGTTATTGGGTTAATTAAATATTAAGAATTTAAATTTACAAGTTTTAATAGATTTTCATTTAATTTTTATTATTAATTGTCCTCTTTTAATTTTCATTATCATGTCTTGTAATACAAGCCTTTTGTTTGTTTCTTTTTTAAATTTACTTAGCTGCATCTGCAGCTAAGACTTCTTGGCCAAATCAAAAGACTATAACGCCAACACCAATAATTTCAGTACGACTGGACAGAATATCATATAGAGTTTTTTTGGGTTTCCACCATAATCAAAATTAAAACTTAGGTTAAGTTAAAAGGAATGGATATGGTCAACATGCACTTCAAAAAACCTTAACTCGGTACAGTTATTCGACGTCACACATTTGACCAATGCGGTTTGAAACGCAAAACTCTCGAAGGCAGAGCAAAAAGGACGGCCTGATTCCCTTTAAGCGATAATGGCAACGATGCACGACGATGTTCCTCTATCCAGAGCTGAATTACGAATAATACAAGCCTTTTAATTTCTTCTGCTCACTGAACTTTCTTTTAAAAAAAGGGGGCTTTAGAGGGGGGTCCGTGAGCAAAAATATACTGTAAGGAATGTACGTGTTTGTGTGTTGTACGCCGCAAAACTTGCACAAAGTGTCGCCAGATGTGTGGATTTGTCCCCAAATTGGGGATTTCAAGTTTTATTTGGAATTTTTGTAAAATTTTGGGGATTTTTTATAATTTTTATAAATATTAACAATTACTTTCATTCTATGTAGTTTGATATATATAAAATATATCAAACAATATTCGCACCTTACCCTCTCCGACTTGGAGAAGTACTCTTTGAATAAATAAAAAAAAAGATACAGATTATAGCGAATTTCTAAATAAATTCTTCGATTTTATTAATCTTGGTCTCAAATACTAACACTAAAATTAGAATATAGTCTCAGCGATCACATATAAATAATGGGATCATTAGGGAATTTCAAGAATATTTTTTTTAAAGAAATAATCAACAGTATTTTCATACAAATTAGACAAATTAAAAATTAATTATCGACGAACAATTTATGAAATAATAAATTCTCTCATTTTTTTCTTATATGTGATGCGCCAAATAAATGTCGCCCTAGGGATACGCAGCAGCCTACGTCCCATAAAGCCGCATGGCCACACGCCCACATTTGATCAAAACTTGTTTATGTGTTAGTAATTTATTCCAGCAATCATTGAGGAAGAAGAAGCATAAATTTCATTTTTATTTAGATTTTGCGATGGCAACATCGTTTTTTTACCGCATGCTGATAAAAAGTGCATGAAAAAATTTTATGCGTTGTGTCAACACTGAAAATTTTTACCATTAATATAAATGTCATTTTTTTATTTTTTGAAATTTTCCTATTAATAGAAAATTGTTTTATTGAAAAACTTTTTACATTTCTATTGCTGTATTCTTTGGATTTCACTTGCCATAACGCAGGCAAGCTTCTATAAACATCAATAAATTCGAGTATGAATTTTTTTTCATCCATATTTCATTTACTTGCTCACCAAAAACTAAATAAAAATGAATTTATGCTTCTTCTTCTTCAATGTATGCTTTCAATTTCTGTTGAAAATCAAAAGTGTTTTGATTTTCATCAAACCAGTGCGTGTGAATTTTTTTTCACTAACACAATGAATTTTTTTTTCACTAAATTTGTTTGATAGTTGCCATCACCCTTAAGAAATGCATGTGTTTGTGTGAGGTGCACAGCCAAATCTACTTATTCGCAATACTTAATTCGGCCTCTGAATTACAATAGCCAATTATCCCGTTTCTACGACACGTTCGTAATTCGTTTTGACAGTTCATCTCCACGTTGTTTTTTCATTCATTATTTTGTAATTTTTTGGAATATTAGTGTGTCACAATTTGTGAAAATATTTCTATGTAGTTTCAATTAATGTAATTTTTTTTTTTCATATGTGATTTGACATTCCTGAAACTCAAAGGCATCTGTATGCTATGCTCTGCTTACAATTTATGTTTTTGACAATATTGTTATATTGCGCCATCTATGTTTTATTAAAACATAATCATTGTATATAGCTGAGACAAGTCTCACAAACTGCGTCATCTGGTAGTCAGTGTAAAATTAAACCAATAAAAAGTGTCTTTAATAAGCGTACATTTTTAATGTTTAATTGAATCATAGATGGCGCAATTTAACATATTGCTCATTTGCTGCGTTCAACACACAAACTTAACTGTTAACGAAACCAACCAGCGTTGACACTCAAAATTTCATTTTTCTTACCAATGTTCCGAAAAAAACTACCACAACATTCCTAAAACTACCAAATTTGTTCCTTAGGTTTTTTTTGGACAATTCCTTCCGTTTAGAGTTCCATTATCCTTAAAACTAACAATATCATGCAATGATTTCTAACAAAGAATGGTTTTTATATGATTACACAAAATTTTTGGCAGCTTTGAACTACATCTGATCTTATTTTTAGAAGCAGTAAAAATCCGATATTTGGATGTCAAAAATAAAACACATTCTCTTAATGACACGCTTATGTAAATTTCACTACTCTTTCACCAAATCTTGATGTACTTCAAATATGTTATTTGTAATGACTTTTCCACATCTCTTTCCTCACTTTTAACTGGGGTTTCATTTGTAAACCAAATATTTCCTTACAAATAAAAACCGAGTTAAAAGTGAGGAAAGAGATGTTGAAAAGTCACTACAAATAACATATTCGAAGTACATCAAATTTTGGTGAAAATCCAATGAAATTTACATAAGCGTGTCATTGAAAGAATGTGGTTTATTTTTGACATCCAAATATCGGATTTTAACTGCATCTATTAATAAGATTAGATGTAGTTCAAAGTTGTCAAAAATGAACAACATCCCTCCAATGACACGCTAATGTAAAATTCATAGGTTTTTCACCAAAATTGGAAGTACTTCAAGTATGTTATTTGTGGTGAAAATTCTACTTCTTTTTCCTCACTTTTTTTGCTGGGATATTAAAGAATAAAAATTTTAAAAGACATTTTCCATAACTCTTCTTGTTCTTTTGTCATAAAAGAGAGAAACTTTGAACGTGATGGTGGCCCTATTTCATCGAACATCACTGTATGTATGAGTTCAAAATTATCTCATCCTACCAAATTTGGACCAAAATGTAAACCTGCCAACCAAAAGTCTTTTAGAGAAAAACTAACAAAGTGGCAACGCAGAAACCAACCCCACGAACATCTGTCCCCAAATAAAACTTGAAATTCCCAATTTTTGGGGACAAATCCCCACATATGGCGACACTGGTCGTCAATGCTAAGATGAAGGCAGTTTTTTCCCTTCAAAATAACGTATTTTTTAATAAAATAATTTAAGTAGTGTCAAAACAAATATTGACACAACCGTTTGAATCGAAAAATCCTATAAAACACTAATCCCGATATTGGCTTTCACAACACATTACTTTTATATGCATATTAAGAACCTAGACTAGGCAATATATCAGTCTATTATCTAATATTTTCTAGTTTGTAGATACTTTAAACATGGATTTACAAAATTTTATTCATCGAATAGAAATGCACAATAACCCCTGGTCTATTTATAAGTATTTATATGGTCTATGTGTTAGTTTATGGATAAGCATTTGGAGTAAAGAAATAATTTTAAATCTTTGGGATTCCTTTTCAAAAATTTCGAAGTACATATCGTCACCTGAAACGTAAACGGCCCTAACTAACCAAAAATTCAAATTCAATTATTGTTGATTCTAATGTATTACATCAAAAACAAATGTCCACAAAAAAATTGATTGACAAAAAACAAAAGACCTTATCCACAAAAACATTTAAATGTTAAAGGTAAAAGTCCAATTTATCCATTTTTATACACAGAAAAAAATAATACATACAGTGGCGAGCAAAACTGGATACATATCAATCAAGTTTATGTTAAAAACCCAATAAAATCCAGAAAATATTAAAAAAAAAAAAAAATTGATATTTGTTTTAAAATAAGCAGTAGAAGAATAATAAAATAAAACAATAGAAAATTCGCGAATATTGAAACTTTTTCTCAAGTTTTAGCCAATTTTATTAAAAAATTCAATGTATCGTTTAAATTTAATTAATCTAGCAACACAAATAAATTGAA